CGTAATTATTCACCCTCAATTCAAATCAGTGCTCAAGTGAACTAATTGGAAACAGTTCCCCACTCAAGTAGAGTAATTACGCCACTCAGCCCATTGAAAGAACGTACTGCCCAAGGCCCATTAGAAAAAGTGGCAAAAAAGCTCGGCGGGCACATCTCAAATTAGAAGATTTTATTTCCTCCTGCAACTACTGACAAGGATACCCACCAAACACTGGCACCCCATACTCATTGGTCCTTCGAATAACCCCCGACATTAGGTCAAACGAGCAGGATCAGGTTAGTTTAGAAATTGATCCCCCATCATTTGGTCCATTCGAGCAGGATCAGGTTAGATTAGAACTTGATCCCTCAACAAATATTAATTACTAGGTGCAAACCAATTTGGCTTTAAAGAAGTGTCAAGCACCAACAATCGTTTGTGCGGCATCACAGAAAAAAATATGTGAAAGATAGGTCAAGGAAATAAGGTTCTTGTTATATTTGATGATTTACAGCAGGCATTTGAACAGTTTATACAGTCCAAGAACATTACAGTAAGCATATGAACCAGAGTAAATAACATGGGCGTCAAAGATATTTCAGATTATCTATTAAAATCATAATTCACCAAAATAAGGTAAATGGTTGGACGATTCAACTGGCAAATCAAATACTACCAAACTATGAAAACGAGAAATACATACATGGACAATTTTGCAAATTAATATACAACATGGATGGAGCAACTCAAACTTGAACTCAAACCATTAATGATAATTAATTCTTATTTAGTAGAAACTTTTCTGAATTATGGACTATTGAGTAGGTAGTGTAAGTGTAACAATATTTAATTTACGTTATTTAAAAATAAAAATGGCGATCAGCGAGTTTGTTCAAAAAGCAACTTGTTAACGGCACAAAAGCGTTAATCAGTAATAGGAGTTATGCTAAAAGTGGATTACTACAAAATACATATTACATGTGATCTTTCATGCCAAAAATTATATTGATTTTAGGGTTTGCAATAGCTTACGTCAATCATTTAAATCTTTAGAAGAACAGGAAACGTACAAGTACATAGATAATGAATATTATTTTTTCAACGGAATTATTTCTAGGTTTCTTAGGTCTAGGCAGGGGAATCGTTTGGACCATAAGGTATATCGAAAAGCCACCCACACAGACAGATATCTTCACAAGCTATCTAACCACCATCCTAGTCAGAAGCAGGGAATCATTAAAACTTTCACGGATAGAGCCACAAAAATATGTGGGCCACAACATCTTTTGCACCAGAATTACAGCACCTGGAAAAAGCTTTTCTTCAGAACGGTTATTTCCAGTTCGACATCAAAAGAGCTGTAGGAGTGGGCCGTGCGGAAAAAAGTGAATCCACTATGAAAGCTTTCCTGCCCTTTGTTCCCAGGGTTACGGACAGAATTGGGAGGCTCCTGAGGAAACGCAACATAAGAACAGTCTACAAGCCCGTATAGGAAGGAACCACACACAAGTCGTGCAGGGTTGCGGTTTCCGGGATTAAGATGGCCATAGCGGCGGTCGGATATCCCGAGAAGAACTTTTCTCCTCAGCGGGGAGAACTCATAAAGAGGCACCTGCTTGGTAAAATCAACGAGCTGCAGCCAGGGATGACTACCAGACCAGGTCATGTGTCGTACCTCCCCCGCCTCAAGATTCCTCTGGAATTCATTGAATACACAGGGATAATGAAGGAGTAAAATACGAGGGCACATTAGGGCAGAAATGACCGCGGTGCAAGGCCAAACACCACCTCGGCGGTGAGGAAAGGGTTTTAGTGGGTAAACAGCTTAGCTGGAGTCCCAAGCAACCGCTGAGGACAGGAGAGAGGATCCAGTACACCGGAGGATAGCAACAGCCAACAGAATGCGCAGGCTCCGATGACACATGCCACGTCATCACAAACCACGTCAGCGCAACCGGTTAATAAATACGGACTGCGCCCGAGGATTTGCATCAGAACAGTGTAAGCCCTCAAGCAAACCACTCCTGAAGATGTAAGCCACTCGTGCTTGCAAAACGTCACGAAGAAAATCTACCCAACGACGGCCTAAAGACCCGAAAAACCCATTAGTTTCAATTTTAGTTTATCTTGCTGATACATAATATATAAACTCTATGCTTAGTCATAAAAGTCATAAAATTTAAATAACTGGATAGAAACCAGCCATATATTTCCATTCCAGCTTAACTAATTTCGACAGCGGTAAGTTATGAATCTGAATTTCGATTGCTTTAATCAACGGATAACAATTAATTAAAAAGTTTGTGGTATATCAAGTTGACTCTATTAACTAAATCTTATCAAATATATGCATCCAAAGATTCCTAACAGCTGTTTAAAACAATTACACACCCTACACGCCTTCACTAGACATTCTTTAGGAGTTTAGGTGTTATTAACTCATAATGTTAGGAGGTTGAGGTTAATTCAATTAAGAGCCACTCAAAGCCCCTACTCAATGGCACCAAAAATAATATATACAATAATAAGAGTATTATTAATGTGGTGCTTATTGATTATAAACCTTAATTTGCAAATGTTGAAATGTTGAGCATCGCATTTTTATTTAATTAATGGTCGTTAAAAATCGAATCTGTTTTCTTTATGGATTTTTTTCAATCGCATCTGGAAATAGGGGTCTGAAATTTTAATGTTTTCATATGTTTCACGTTTTCCTGTGAAAATGTCGTCTATTTCTCACTATAATGCCACAACTATACCATAATGTTAGGGATTTTAGAGAAAAAGTCCAAGTGCAAGTTTATAACAATGATTAGAATTTTAAACATTTTTCATGCGTTCAAGATATCTGCCAGTGATCAAAGCTGTCACCACTCTTGTTTTGATCGGTAGTGTTTGATTGGTAGTTTGATTGTAGTGAGCATCAGAACAACATGAGGTGTCTCTAGGTACGAGGGTCAGTAACTTTTTTAATGAAATACATCTTTTTCGGCCAAAAAAAACGTTTTATTTCTCAACATAATCTCCTTTTAGCTCAGTCCAGGCTCTTTACAATTTTTTTATCCCTTCCAAATAATATAATATCTCGAGGTTTTCAAAATATGCGTCTGTTTCAATGATGACCTCTTCATGGGATCCAAATATCTTACGGCCCAGCCATTTCTTCAGGTTTGGAAACAGGAAATAGTCGCAAGGGGCTAAATCTAGAGAATATGCTGGGTGGGGTACACACCCGTCTGCATCCGTGTATTGCGTTGATGAAACAGCACCTTTTTTCGCCAAATGCGGCCGTTTTAGTTTCATATCAGCATCGAATCTATCCAAAAGCTCTGAATAATATGCGCCAGTGATCGTTTTACCCTTTTCAAAGTAATCGACGTGAATAACACCGCGTTCATCCAAAATAAACTGTGGCCATCACCTTGTTGTCCGACGGATCCATTTTGGTCTTCTTTGGTTCACGTTCAACTGAACCCACTCTTTTGATTAATCTTATCGATATTCTCCGATCGTCCAGTATATTTTCATGAATTTTATCGACCATTTCTGGCGTAACAACCTCTTTTGATCGACCTGAACGTTCTGCGTCATTTGTGCTGGAACGAGTACAACGAGACTCAGCAAACCACTGATTGAAACCAATGAAACTGACTCCACAAATTTGACCAACCATTGAAATTGAGGGTGCAGAGTCCCCATAGTATTAAGCTTTTCCTTCGTTTCTTTGATGGGTTTTTTAAGACAAAAATAATCCTTGATAAGCACTCAAAATTCACTTTTTTCCATTTTCGTTGAAATTGACGAAGTCATCTTTCAATGACTGTTAAACACGAACTAAATGACATAGCGTGCTCAAAATTTCACAGCAGAGTAGTGTTGAATTTAAAGTTACTGTGCCGGAAATTCATAGTCACTGACTTATCAAACGACCCTCGTATATG